TAATTGATCCCACGAAGATAAGTAATTTAGAGAAAAACTCAGCAATAGCAATGTATGCATTAACACACAACCACACAATAGGGTGGGTGGGACAGAGTCAAAATTCTAAGAAGTAATATAGGCTGGTCGAGAGAGACAGATTGATTACTGAATCCTGCCTGGTTCATCGAGTCCACACCCAACACATGCAACAGAAATGACTCAACGCAAATACCAGAGATATGAAAGATATTATTACCAGTCAGATCAGAGGAGGATAATAAATAAACTTAAACTTCTATTTCAATTCGCGTACATCATAACATTCTAACAAGTTACTTATTATGATTATAAAAACACTCGTCTTATTTCCCATTTTATTGTAATTGATCAATAACACTCATATTATTATTTCTGAATGTACATTATCCTATGTTGATTTTTATTCAAATGTTTAGTCAATTGTGCTCGAAATGTGGTCATCAGTAAATATTACTGTACAACACTGTGTGAGGAATTTATCAAAGTAAAATCTTATCTATAATGGAGTCAATAACAATATTGGTGTTTTTAAATACTGCCGATTTGTTAAGCAAGATCAATGGAATTACAGTTCAACAAAGATGCATAAATTCTAATAAGCATCAAAATATAATAGCGACTAGAATATCAAATAAAATTAAGGAGATTTCCACAACAAATTGTGAATAATTAGAACCTTGATTGACGACCAAGGGGGTAAGGACAGTGTCTGAACCAACCGGCTTGTTTTGAATACATAAGTTAGGTTTCTTAATATGGATCCCAATGACCAGTCTCAGCAATATTTAGTAGACGAACTCTTAAGGTGCAGTTAAGACTAGTTGGTATGCGGTAGATGACTTTGAAAGCCTCCTAGTTAACATCAGTCTTTTGTTCTGTATCCACAAGATGAGATAGAATAGCTCTGCGAATAGATTTTGTTTGTCCTTTGCTTAACCAATACGGTTGGATGATTTTCGGAAATCCGACGAGAAACACGCCTAATTGTACAGCTTATGTAACTGGCTCCACAGGATCAGAGAAATTTAGATTTATAGGAAAATGTTACACACAATGCATGAGTGAGAAAATATTAGTAAGTCATTTGTGTTTTTGCACTTTTTTAAATAAGTTACTAGCCGACATACTAAATAACTTAAACGTAATATCTCAATGGGCCTCAAATTACATTGAAATTCGAACACAAAGTTTGGTATTTTCTCGTCACAAATACAGACATATTACCAAATAATCAGTGTAACTTCGTAGCAGTATTTATTTATTCTGCTTTATTTCAGACTGTTTCCTCCATGGAAAAACTGTTTCAAAGTTTGGAAGAAACTAATCTACGAACATCCTGCTTTTATGCCGTGGTCAACGTTTAGTGATGCTCATAATTTACTTGTTGAATTTATCAACAAACCTGGAACGTAAGTTTACTTGTTTAAGTTAAGGAAATAAATGATGACTGCTCACCATTTATAATTTTTTGCTGTCAGATACTGAACCATATAATGTTTACTGGTGATATTTTTTATAAAAATATATGAATCATTAATTAATAAACTCTGAGGAACACAGGGCTTCAGCCTCACGTCTCCATTGCGTCTGGCTCTCCGCTAACGTTTTCACTTGGCTCCATGTCTGCCCAAATACTTTCATCTTCTCTTCGTCTGACCTCCTCCATGTCACCCTCGCACTGCTCAGCAGTCCACTCCGTCCTCCTTTATGGCTGTGAGACCTGGCCATTGAGAGCAGAAGACATGAAAAGATTAGCTGTCTTCGATCATAGGTGTCTGCGTTCTATCTCCTGCGTGAAGTGGTATGATAAGGTGAGCAATATTGAGGTGAGGCATCGGTCGAGTGCTAGGTAAGGAGGGGAAATCAGTCGACGAGGCTGTGAAATTACATCGACTGAGATGGTTAGAACATGTGTTAATTATGATTAGCCATCGCCTTCCTCGACGGGCAATGTTAGCTGAAATAGGGTCAGGCTGGAAAAGAACTAGCGGCGGTCAAACCAAAACATGTCACCAGTCAACGAAAACTACAACAGTTAGTCTAAGCCACGTAGGAAGGTGTAGACTTTCTGGTTGGGGTCCTCGGATCGGTAAAAACCAATGGTTGGAAACAATTGGTGACATGGCTCAAAATCGTTCTCAATTGTTGGCGCAGATGCATCCACTCCTTGTGACTTATGATTTCCAGTGAAACAGTTTTGTTCTTCGTTATTAGTATTCCTTTGTCTCACACCTCTGTTTACTGTCTATATTATGCATTTCTTCTACTTTCTTCTCTTGCTTTATGTGCTTCATGGAGTGTGGCGACGTGAACAGTCGCACATCGGTGCAAAGTTCTATGCCGAAAAAAGACAGACAGAGAGACACTGACGAACTACTCGATGTTCTCTAAATATTTTATTCCTTCACGCGCCCAATTGGGAATAGAGCTTCAAGCTGGAGCTTTAAAGTTTCGGCAGCAGTGTTTATTTTTATTTTTACGGAGTGGCGCTGCTTGCCTCATGCCTGACTCCCCCTCTTTACCGGTCTTATTAGAGGCCCAGCGAGGTTTAAGAGTGCGTTGGCCGGAGATCGAACCACCCATGGACCGCCTGCGTGATTGGCAAGTATTCTACGACTAAGCCACCTACGCACATTATTACATGTAGCATGCCTAAAATGTGGTTTACTCAACCTATTTAATCACTGAAAATGTAGTTTAAAATTGTGTCATTCGCATTCACATTTCAGTTGTCACTTAATGGTTTGAGTGAATGAACAAATTTTTACAGGATTTTCATCATGAGTTGACATTAGTCAGAGAACCATTGGAAAACCTGGGAGTACTGGACAGCTGTTTCGTCCTAGTTTGGGACTCTTCATCAGTACGCACCCACTGGGATTCGAACACAGAACCTTCTGGTTACAAGGCTAGCGAGCTCTTATACCATTAAGCCACTGGGACCCGATCCAATGGCCCATGAATTCTAACTTCTGCTAATTCACGAACTAGCGCGACCCCTAGCCAATGTCTTCGGCGAGTATTTGTCCTCACACCCGACCTGCTGCACCCTTTTAATATTTTTTTTAAATTGGTAGTTGAGATTGGTCCAATTCACGTGTTTACATTAACTTCGTAAACGTTTGTTTGTTATGTTGTTTTATGGTAAACTACCAGTTTGGATTCAGTTAACATCTATTCACGATCTTGACTTTCTTGTAGAACTTGTCAACTCAATCTGGGTTACAAGTTTTAAAATTAAGCAGAATTATTCGGTCTCTATTGTCACTGAGTTCTTGTGATTCATTTGTAATTGTAATTTTTGGTGGTACATTGTGTACACGTGAGGTCTTAATTCCGTCTCTAATATCCGAAAATCTATCAATGCTATAAACTAGAAATTTAGAGCCATTTATAAGTTTAAGTAGTGTGAAATATTCCCATATCATGAATTAAAAGTCAATCTGAACGAAGTCGTTATCACGTACAGTTCGCTTACGTCTCCTATACATAGCTGAAGCTGTTGCAATAAGATCAACTAAACCTGAACATTGTATCTAAAATGAACACGTCTAGACGCTGTTCCTGCCATGGCCAAACTGGGATTAATGTTTCTTCTTCTCACCAAGAATGCCCCTTCCCCTTAACCCTTTCGGTTTATTTTTATGCTGTTTTCTTTGCTTATTGTTATTATTATTATTAGTCATAATTTATACCCTTCATTCAAACATTCTGTTAATATTATCGAATTTTCCATTTATACTATTTGGACTTATTATTAATACTATTATCTTTTCTATAGTTGGTTTGTAAGGGTTAGTTTTGTCTTTTACTAGTTGATCACGGATTGTTGTCAGTTAGAGAACCATTGAAAACCAGTATGGAGTACTGGACAGCTGTTTCGTCCTGGTTTGGGATTCACCGGCAGTACACACCCACTGGGGTTCGAACCCAGTTGGCGTCGTGCTAAATCACAAATTGGTAGAAGTAAGAATTCATGTGCTGGCCACTGAATCGGGTCCCAGTGGCTGAATGGTATACGAGCTTGCCTTGTAATCGGTCCTGGGTTTGAACCCTGGTAGTGGGTGCATACTGCCGATGATTGCCAAACTAGGACGAGGTAAACAGCTGTCCAGTACTCCCTGTTGGTTTTCAATGCTTCCCTAACTGATATCAATCCGTGATCAACTCGTAAAAAAATATATTATCTCTTTTCTCAATATATACCTTCACCTGTTTCATCTCACACATCGGTTATTTCATAATGAACCTTTCATTGCAGTCTTGCTATCTACTCCTCCAAAGTAGTATTACTTTGTACTAGCCACTCACCTGACACCTTTTATAACCTTCAACTGACTTGTCAGCTTTTTCTACCCCACATTCTACGAATCTATTATGACTAATCACCGCCATAGTCTGCCATTTCACAGTATTTTGTAATTGAATTCAGTCTAGCCCGTTAGTCACACAAATACTATTTATTTTGACACTCTATGTATACTCATCTGTTATTCTACATAAAAATTTATCCGCCACATAACTGCCCATTACTGTGACGACATCAAATATTATATTTTATAATTGTAAGAACCTGAAGAGAAGTTATTGAATAGAATATTCTTCGTCCAGATTAACTTCCATATATAAGTGTTTAAACTGTTATCCTGCTTTATTTCACTGTATCACTAAATATATGAAATTTTATATGAAAAAGCACAGTAAGCAGTAGCACTTAGTAGCATTATAAAGAAGTCGATTGTTTGTAAGAGTTCACTCTTATACATGAGTGCAAGCATGGAAACCTTGCATTTTGTGTGTCGGTGGCACAGCGGTTAGGACGCTCGCCGACCATGCACATGGTTCGGGGTTCGATCCCCAGCCGACGCACACTCGATATCAGTGGTCGGCCTGCAAAATTTGGGCTACCGATATCAGATGCTGAAAATTCCATACCTGTATCAAAAATACTGTGTGGAGTCAAGCTATAATAAAATTTTAAATAAACTTAATGCGAATTATTTTTTTCTCAACTTTTATTGTACATAAACATCATCACCGCTATTAATCTTTCGAATTATGTGCATCCACTAAACCACAGCCGATCAGTGAGTAATTTACGTTTTTTTTTGTAAATTTGAACCCTTCATTTGATTTCTCTACATTGGTCTCTTGAAGCATACTGATGAATTACTAGTTGTCTAAATATTTAATATGTAAAATGATCTATTATTAAAAAAGGCATCGATGGAAATATCTATTTTCTCAGGGTTTGCGTAACCTCTAAGAATTATAGGGTAGAATACAAACGTTATGAAGAAAACTTTGTAGTTACTCAAACCAACTAGAGAATTACTGAAGTAATTAGTGAAAATCAGGATGCACATTTCGTCCTATATCGGACTCATCATCCGGAAGTACTTCTATTCTCCAGTGACGGGTGGTGTTCCCATTGTGACTCAAACACCATACCCATCGTTTCAAACACGAAAACAATATCAACTGGACCATTTGGGCCAAGAGGGCCACTTCTTACTTCAAGTTAATCCTCAGACATCATCGAAGCGTCCACAGTTGGAGCCGATATGTCAACAGAGGCCGAACATTTCGGTCCAACCAGTCAACGGGAATATCAGAAATGAATTCGAAAGATGTTAAAATTATTAGTCCCAAATTTTTCCTACATAGCTGAGATTTTTCTTATTTTGAGATCTGCACTCCAGATCAAAGGAATTAGTTTCTGGAGAACTCCGAGACATAAGTTGAAAATCAATTATACCAGATATTTTGCCGGGAGTAGTAAAGCAAATAGAAATCTTGATGTATTGAATATGCTAGGTCTCCCTCTTGATATAATCACATAAACAGGTCAGTGTGGGTATACTAGCTGAAGCTCTTACACACATCTTAGAGGCATAGAAAAGAAATAAGCAGAAATAACATGGTACTATAATAAACGAAAATAAACCTGTTAGAAGAAACTCAGAGCGGCTAAAAAAGAAAGAAGGTAGCTAAATGCCTAGTGAAAACGTCTGAAACTTGACAAATGGTGAGAACTGAATGCGTCCAAGTCGTTGTGAACAATCGCTACCCATAAATGTATGCTTGCTTTATATCTTATGTATGCTTGTATTTAATCGTGATCCATCTGAAAAGCAAGTAAAATTCTATCGGTTCTAACCAAATGTAATTCTTCACTTCTACAGCTTTGTTTTTCGTCTGAGTTGTAACAATATTGGATTCTGGTCTGTCGGTTATGTAGGAGAAGATGAAAAACCTGTTCAGATTGTTTGTCGTTCTCATTATCTAGCTGACTATCTTGAAGAGACAAAACATAGAAAATTGTAAGTTGTATTCATTTTGTCCTGTGTTGTGTTCTTAAAACAACATAGTGTTATATATTCGACAGTTTTTAGCAATGTTTAATACACCCTTTTCAGTTAAACACTGACTAACTGTTTTATCTTATGCACGCATTCCATAGATATAAACATAGGTTTAATTACGATTAAGCTATTTTTATAGGGATGGTAACTTTCAGGTAATCACCTCTTTCGTTTACACTAATTAAATATTTTGTTGTTTTCATAGCACCGGTATCAGTACGCTGGTTCATTTATGAATTCATTTTATTCTGTTGAGCTGATTACCATGTGTCTGCATGTATACCAAGCTGTGAAACATTATCTAGTCTGACTAACAAAGAGAGAGGGAAAGTATATCTATAGTTGGTTAACTGAACATCTCGTGAAATCATGAAACTACGGTCCATTTAAGAAATCCTTCAAAACCTTATACAAAATCCAGTCAAGTCTCTCAAAGGGAGAGAAATCAAGACATCTGGCCGTAGTTGAAGCATTAGTAGTATCCCAAAAATTCAGGCTAAACCTATATATATCCAAAGGATTAGTATGTTCAGCCCTTGACTTTACCACAGCAATTCACAATTCTGATATTTTTTGTCCGTACTTCCTGTTTATTTTTCTTCTAATTCTTGAATCCTTATTTATATTACACAACTTCGTCTTGTTATTCGTTATACTTTGATCTCGGAGCCAAAATGCTTCTGGAACTTTCTCACCCCTTTGTTTCGCATTCGCAAAAACACAGCCTAGTAGATGATGACTTTGTCGAAAGGGAGATTTTCTTCTTAGCTGAAGTTATCTTTTTCGTATTTCCAATCATCTAATTTATATATTCGGTTAAAATTTTCATATGGCTGCACTCAGGAGTATAGAAATAGGAAGTGAGTAGTATTCATACACTTTCCCAAAACTTTATGGTTATACATATATATGTATGTAAATTCGCTTCTATATTCTCTGTTTGTTCTTCCTGGCATGTAGCTGCTAATTTTAGAAGTGACACAGATCGCCAATCTGAGCTTTTTAGACAGTAATGTATAGAATTTATTAAAATTTACGACTTCAATGTTGTTCTTTTGACATCTAGTTTGGCTTTACTTCTTCTACTTTATAACATGAAGTACTCAAAAGAAGAAAGCCGTAGATCACAAGTCCTTGTCTGCTTCGAATCTAATTGTTGTACTCTCATTTTGGTGTATAGTTTTTCTCCAGACATTGGTTAATACAAACTATTCAGTTGACATTTATGTTTCTGAACAGCTGTTTCGTCCTGGTTTGGGACTCCTCATGAATACGCGCCCTCCGGGGTTCAAACTCAGGACCTTCTGGTTAGAAGGCGAGCTCGTCGACCATTAAGCCATTGGGACCCACTCAATCAAGTGGCCAGTCGATGAATTCCAGCTCTTGCCAATTCATGATACCACGACTACGGTGGGTGCGTACTGTGAAGAGTCCCAAAATGGGGCGAAACAGCTGTTCAGTACTCCTAGGTTTCCCAGTGGTTCTCCAACTGATGTCAGCTTATGATGAAACCCTCGAACCAATCAAATAAAATCCATACAGAACCCAATACTTGAAAATTTATGTTTCTGGTGTATCATTTAAACAATATTGGCTGTTAAATAGTTAAAAGGTATTTCCTAGTATAAATAGCTTATTATGATAAATTACCATACACAGATTTTTTGCTTTTCAGAAGGTATGAATTTCATCCACTCAAACATAGGTAATTTTAGAGTTATGTAGTGTTGAGGAGTTCGGAACCACAGTGGTACGGATTACAAATAGTCTCTGATATCCTGTGTTTCTTCATAGCAGATAGTTTCTATTTAAATCTGTCATCAAGTTTTTTATTCTCTCAAAGTTGTCTATTTGTAAGGCTCCAAATAATCTAATATCTTGTTGTACCTATAAAGATAAAATTTTTCCCATTCAAATAAAACACGATTTATCAAAGCAAAGTAGGTGAATTAAGAAGTTTTCTCTGCTTTTTTTAAGACTGTTGAGAGTTGTTAGTTTAGGTTTTTGGTTTTATGTTGATGAATATGTTGATGAACCCTCTAACTTTTAGTTAATTTTCTATCCCATCTTCTTCAGGTGTATTTTCCCAAGAGGTCTTGATTCAAACCAAAATCCAGATCTCAGTGAAATTGTAAATCAAACTCAGATGTGTATTGTTAGTCCCACAGATAATAGAAACTCTGAATCTGTCCTTTCATGTGGTATATGCATGGAATTTGAAAAAACAGTTCAACTTGAACCGTGTAAACATCATTTATGTCTAAAATGCTCAATCAAATGGATAGTAAGTTCTAATTTTTGATGATGTCAATATGACTTGCTTAATTTATAACAAGTATAAATGTACGTTATTCAAAGGCTACGATGACGTTAAATTCAACGTTCTTTCTATCTGTGCGTTGGTGGCACAACGGTTAGGATGCTTGCCGACCATACACATGATCCGGCGTTCGATCTCCGGTCGACACACACCTGATATCAATGGTCGGTCTGCTAAATCTGGGCTACCGATATCACATGCTGAGAATTTCATAGTTGTACCAAAAATATTGTGTGGAATCAAGCTATAATGAAAAAGAATTTCGAGTCATATTTGAAATCCATAGCACTTATTGAGTGTACTGACAGAAGGCAGTGCACATGCGTTTCTTTGAATTCACTGGCAGCTGTTATTTGAACTTTCAGAGTACTAACGTCCTAGCAGAGGCTCCAATGGCTTTAAGACAAGCTAGCTAAAAGTTATTCAAATTACTACCAAATCTCTTCGTAGCTCAATGCTGTTTGTTAATCAGTCAGTGCAGTGAAAGTTCAGCTATTAATGTTTTATGCGCCTTTATGTTTTACTTTGTGCATCAAAATAAGTCTTTCTAATATAAATAACAAGTATTTGCATCATTTTACGGCATCTACATTAAAATTTAGATATAATGGAGAAGATTTGTTGCTCACAGAACGCAACTGCGTCAAAAAAAGCATTAAAATTTTTGGTACACTGACCTTTATCTTTAGCAGTATTGATGATAGGAAATTTCAAAGTTATTTAATTAGATTATTTAATTGAATTTTAGATTTTCCCGTCGATTGATTGGACCGAAGTGCTCGGTCTCAGGTTGACATGTCTGTTGGCCTCTTGTGTAGATGCTTCGAAGATGTCTGGGCATTTAATTAGAAGTTAATTAGTGGATGGTGACTAGCAGTGGAATCCAGCCAGGATGACGCGCACTTCGTCTTATTTGGGACTGGGACACTGGGTTCGAGCCTCGGTGCAGACATCATCAATCACGACGGAATGCAGGGACATCCAGATGACGAGTCCCAAATAGAACGAAACGTGTGTTATCCTGGATTCCACGGCTAGTCACCATCCACCAATTAACATTTAATTAGATTGTTTATAGCTTAGTGAATAAATGCACAATATAGAGTTTTGACTCATCAGCTCTAAAATCTTTCCATCACCGTAATCACGATAGTGCAAAAGGGATAGTTTTCATTTCTACAGTAGTTTATTTGCTTAGTGGGTAGTTTGACCCTGTATGAAATACAATGAAAGATGACCTCTCGAACTAACCATTCACATATGATCTAATAGGCTGCGAGTTCGAACCCCTTTCCAACTTCTTTGATGATATGTCAGAGGAACTCACACTTAAGTTATGATTCATAAACTAATAAGCTAAGAATCTGTAATGAATACCAGAGTTGAATTATTATTATTATTATTATTATTATTATTATTATGGAGATTGAGTGTTTTAGTTCTATATTACTATGCGAAAATTATTGTATTCATCAAATGTCTTCACTAATTAGCTACTTAAAATACTCACTATGATGACGGTCACTGTTTAAAGGAAGTGTCTTTCATCAAATAAACACTATTGCTACCTAAATTGACAGGAAGCTGTTGAATGCAAGTTTAGATTATGTATATTCCATATTCACTTAAATGGAGATAACGTGACTGTTATCACTTTATTTCTAAGCGCTAACGAGATTTGAAACAAATATTTCTTGAATTAATGACTGGGTGCTGGATTTCTTTAAACTACTAAATCTGTTTAATGAATGTTTTAAAGCCGCATATTAGTGAATTTTGTACAAAAATAACTTTAAAGTGTATGCAGAGTTTTTTAGTCTTTACAGTTATAGGGCGATACGGGTTAAGATAAACATTGCTCATTAATAATCTTGTTTACAAGAGTGAATTCTGAAGGTGGTAGATATGGTATATAACATTTTAACTTAGATATAATGGAGAGGATTTGTGCCAACCATGTAGTAGCAAGTAGCCCATCCAGCTGACAAAATGTAGAGTCTTCTGAACACCTTCAGTTGTAATCTGCGAATGTTTCGTATGCGATTCGCTCCCGCCAAATGTAAGATGATGTTACAGGACTGGACTAATTTGACTCCTAGCTTAGAAATAGGGAGTGAAGAGGTAGAGCACGTTGACCACTTCACTTATTTGGGAATTTGCATCAGCCAGTGCCAACGTGGTGGTCGCTGAAGAAATCTCACCACGGATACAGAAGGATCGTTTAGCATATGCTAGTTTAAGCCGCCTCTGGCGTAGACGTGATATCAGGTTGTCGACCGAAGGGCGTATGTAATGGTCAGCAGTCCGCTCCGTCCTCCTTTATGTCTGTGAGACCTGGCCATTGAGAGTGGAAGAAATGAAAAGACTAGCTGTCTTTGTTCATAGTTGTCTGCGTTCTATCTCCCCTATTAAGTGGTGGTATAATAGAGTGAATTATAATGAGTTGAATAGATGTCGAGTGCTAAGTAAGGAGGGGAAATCAGTTGACGAGGCTGTGAAGATACATCGACTGAGATGGTTAGGACATATGTTACGCATGGCTAGCCATCGATCGCCTTGCTCAACGGGTAATGTTAACTGACATAGGGTCAGGTGGGAGAAGAACCAGTGGTGGTCAAACCAAACCATGGCATCATTCAATGAAATTCACAACAATTAGTTTAAGCCACTTAGGAAAGTGTAGACTTCCTGGTTGGGGTCCTCGGACGGTTAAAACTAATGGCTCGATACAATCGGTGATATGGTTCAAAATCTTTCTCAGTGCCGCAGATGCATCCTCTCCTTGTGATTTATAATACCCAATAAAACTATATTGTTCTTCGATATTACTATTCTGTTTGCCTTATATCTCTGTTCACTGTTTCTATTTTGCATTTCTTTTTACTTTCCTCTCTTGCTTTGTGTGCTACATGGAGTGTGGTGGCTCGAACTGCTGCACATCGGTGCAAAATTCTATGTTGAAACCAGCCAGTCAGTCAAACCATCCAGCTCAGAGAACACAACCACACTAATAACATTTTAACTTATTGGTTTAGAAGGATTTTCCAAAGATTCCCCGTTTATTAAAAATGCATTTCAGCTCCCCAAGTAGATAATTACCAGTAGAGCTAATTCAGAATAAATTACTAGCCAACACTTGTTAAGATTATAAGTTTCCAGACCGTAGATGTTACAAATTTCATGGAATAATTTGAGCACTGAGTCAGACTGAATCATTATAATAAGTCAATTAAAATAGTCCCAGTTTGATCGACAGAAAATCAAAACAAGAGTTTTCTGTACGTTTCGCTGTGTAACTTGCCACAGCTTCTTCAGTAGAATTATTCCGACTTTATTAACCACCAAAGTATATAGTCAAAAATTACATACATTGAAGTTAGTTCATTTGAAGGTCATTTGTCGGTAGACATTTCTACCAATAGAAAATTGTGAACAGTCATCACATATCTGTAATGACTAATGTCAAAGGAACTCACTTCAATTTATGCAATTTTTGACTATATGTGTTTTGATGGTTAATAAAATCCGAATAATTCTGCTGAAGAATTCCATTGTGAATAAGATTTATTTTCAATAGTTGGTTTGTAAGAATTAGACTGGCTTTTACGAGTTGATCACGGATTGTTGTCAGTTAGAGAAACATTGAAAAGCAGCACTGGAGTGCTGGACAGCTATTTCATGCTAGTTTAGGAATCATCGGCAGTAAGCACCCACTACCAGGGTTCGAACCCAGGACCTTCCGGTTACAAGGTAAGCTCGTATACCATTCAGCCAGCTACAGCATGGAATTTCCTGGAGTTCTAGTGAGAAGTCGAGACCAATGAGGTTCATCCAGTCAAATATGTGGATGGATGTTCCACCGATGACACTGGTTGGTGGTCGCTTTAAATCACGAATTGGTAGAAGTTACAATTCATGTGCTGGCCACGGAATCGGGTCCCAGTGGATGAATGGTAAAGGAGCTTGCCTTGCAACCAGAAGGTCCTGGTTTCAAACCCTGTCGGTGGGGTGGGTGTGTACTGCCGATGATTCCCAAACTAGGATGAAACAGCTCTCCAGTACTCCCTGCTGGTTTTCAATGGTTCTCTAACTTATATCAATCCATGATAAACTCGTAAAAATAAAAATTTATTTTCATAAAGTGTCTCAGTGCTAAACAGTAATATTTACTGATGACGTTTCGAGTACAATTTATTGCTCATAATCATATCAGGTTACTCGCACAACTTTCCAACTTCATTTATACGATCATATAAATTGTGCTGGAAACCTGGTCACATCAGTAAATAATACTGTATAACACTGTGAGTCTTTATCAAAATAAATTTTATCCACAATAGAATTCTATTCTACCACAGTGTACAGGTTCTGTTCTTATATCTGCTGAAGAAGCTGTGGTTTACACAGTGAAATGTTCAGAAAAAATCTTGTTTTGGTTGTTTCTTAAACACACCGGGATTATTTTAAATAATTTATAACGAAGCTGTATAAGTTAAACTGATCCGAGGAAGGCATTTTTTTTATTAAAAACATATAAAAAGGTTTTATCCACACGTTCTCCTAAGCACATCTACGTGAAATGGAGAGAGGTGTAACTTGGTTAGTTAAGGGTGTCATCTTATCTCATCTATTAGATATAACGAAAATCAAATCACATTATTCTTATCTGAGTGTTTATTTAACTGCTTTCTACTAGAATAGGCTACTCCTGTGTCATGTTTACATAGTTCAAATGATAATTTGACTTATTTATACAAAATAAATCAACTAATTAACTTGTTTTCTATAGTTTGGTTTGTAAGGGTTAGTTTTGTTTTTACGGGTTGATCACGGATTGATATTTGTTAGAGAACCATTGAAAACAAGGGTCTCAGTGGCTGAATGGTATACGAGCTTGCCTTGTAACCGGAAGGTCGTGGGTGCCGATGATTTCCAAACTAGGATGAAACAGCAGCTGTCCAGTACTCCAGTGATGGTTTTCAATGTTTCTCTAACTAATATCAACGCGTAATTAACTTGTAATTAATAGGTCCAGTCCTATTTTAGTCAATATTTTCTCTAAGACTTATATTTGATCATTATTGATTTATTTTTCTCCTTCTCCTTCCTTCCACCTTATAAAATAGTTTTTATACTTTATTAGTTACTCGACTTTCATCATGAGGAAGAAATCTTCGAAGTCGTTCCATAACACTGTACAACGCCTGATCTATTTTGACACAATACAAACTCTAATAATCACTCCCCTCCCCCATCTATTATTTCAAATTGACATATATACATACATTTCCACTTTATGATTTTTATTCTGTGTAGCCTACAGTTAAAGGATGTCCATTCTGTCGACAGACTGTGTTAGCAACAACTTCCGTACAACTCTATCTGAATAATACAAAAAGTGAGTACATTTTATGGCTTGTTTAATAATTAAAAAAAAAAATTTAGTTGAAACTTTCTCTGCAACTAAACTTTCAGTCATCACTGAACTTAGTTATTATTTTCAAATTTTTAAAGCAATATTGGTGGAAGAATGGAGAAATTCTGTGCATACTACTTTTTATTATTATATTATTATTATTGTTTCCTTTAATTCCTAGAGGAACATAGGACTTCAGCCGTGCGTCTCCATTACGTTCGGTTCTCTGCTAGAGTTTTCACCTGGCTCCAAGTCTGCCCACACGTCTTCATCTCCTCTTCACATGACCTCCTCCAAGTCACCCTTGCACCGACGACCAACTCGCCGCCTCCCTTTCGGGTCCCACTCGAGCAATGGCTTGTCTAGTGATGTCACTTGATGGCTTCCTCAGAGTATGGCCAGCCAATCCATCTCCATTTCTTCCTGCCTATTTGTTTCACAATCGGTTCCTGCTGGGTTGGTTCGCTCATTGCCAGAGATCCCTGTTGCTGATCTTTTCTGACCGGCCATCTGATCTTGAGTATTGAGCGAAGACAACTGTTAATGAAGGTCTGTAGTTTGTTTGATGTGCTCTTTATGACGCGCAGTGCAAGTCTCTGATCCGTATAGTGAGTAGCACTGACTTCACATTGGAGTTGAAAATCCGGATCTTATTTTTGATACTGAGTGCTGTTGACCTCCACACAGACTTGAGAGTAGTGAAAGCTTGTCTTGCTTTTCCGATTCTTGCTTTGATATCCTCGTCAGTTCCGTCGGCCTGTAGTTGAAATGATGCTTCCCAGGTAGGGTAGATAAAAGAGGTTGTTTCTTTCAGGTTCCTTCCATTTATGCTGATTGTTGTCTGTTGTTGTTGTTGCTGCTGTCCGTGGTGTTGCTCAGGAATCTTCATCACCTCTGTTTTCTCTATGTTCACCTGAAGTCCTATCTTCTCTGGATGCTTCTTCTGCCAACTTGTTGCTTTTCGCTTGCATATCTTCCAGTTTGTGGGAAATCAGACATATATCATCATCGGCGAAGTCCAGATCCTCCAAGTTTTTTGTGTGAGTCCATTTTATGCCTGTTTCTTCATTGCCTTCTGTCAGTCGCATCATACAATCTACTGCAATCAGGAAAATCATTGGTGATAGTAGGCAACCTTGTCTTACTCCTGTCCTCACTTCGAAGGATTCCATAAGTTTCCCGTTGTGGATTACTTGGCATGCAGCCTTATCGTACAGCTGTTGGATGAGATGTATAATAGTCGGTGGCACCCCGTAGTAATAGTGAAACATTATTGATCAACCTATCAGTGTTCTTCACGTAGTAATAAAATCATATCCAGTAATTCATTTTTATATGTAAATTATTGATATTCCTTTGAGTTCCGAGTGGAACTTCGGGCTTCAACAACACATCTCCACTTCGTCCTTTCCTCTGTAGTCCTCTTTAGCTGACCCCACGATTGTTCATATTCTCTCATCTCCTCCTCAAATGGTCGCTTCCATGTCACCTTTGAACCAACTCCAAAGTCGTCGTTTCCCATTAGGGTTCCACTTGAGCGATGGCCTGGAGTGCAATATCACCCAAGGGTCTCCTCAGTTTATGTGCTATCCATCTTCATTTTCTTCTACATATTTGGTGAGCAGTAGGTTCTCACTTTGTTAGTTCGCAGAGTTTCTTGTTGCTAATTCTATCTGTCCACTTGATGTTGACTATAGAGTAAAAGCAGCTCTTGATAGAAGTTTGCTGTGGCCTGTTGGAAATGTTTTTCGTAGCGCGACAGGTTTCTGATCTGTGCAGAAGAACTGGCTTCAAACTCTTGTTGAAAATTCGAATTTTCTAAATAAAAATATCAGGGCATTAGATGTAATTTTTCGCTTAATAATTACAACGACAGCATTCTTCATGAATGAAATCTTCCCATCAAATATTGGAAGTTTCTCTTGGTGCTTGACATTGAGAATGTATATCATATAACTTTCGTAAACAGTTTAGTGCTCATCGACATTGACGCTTGAATGTACAGAACTAAACAGTTTAAGTCATGAACCTGTACTCTGATAGTTAAGTTCCACTATTTTCCAATTCAGATTACATCTTGTCTGATTTCTTTATTTCAACCCCAGATAAGACATGTTTATCATTCCCTAGGCATGTCTGTAGCGTATAGTTAACAAAAATGTCTGTATCAATTATTCTTGCATAGATATCTGAAAATGATTATTATTGTTAGAAATGATAAAAAGGGTTGATAAAAAGAGGAAGAAAAACAAAGGCAGCATTAGTGTGTTACTTTAGAATTGGAATAGAAAGCAAGTAGTCATTTCGCTAAGAAAGGAAAAGGGATAGTAGAGGAGATTTGTAGCTCAGATGGATGATTTTGGAATTAGTTGTGTTCTCTGAGCTGGCTGGTTTAATTGCAAAGCTTTCGTCGTCCTTCTGGAAAACATCTTCAGTGCAAGTTTTAGCATAAAATAAACTGATTTAAATTCTCCTTGAGTGATATAATTGTGTCTCCTGGTAACCATCTTTGTGACTGGTAGTAAAAAAATCGAGTCACAACACCAACAAGAAACCATCATCAAAGAATACAAGAAAATTCATTCTAGCATATATAAAAATATCTTGGAAATAAAAGCTAGAATAGTGAAACCGTTTGAAAGAGATATAGCACACAAGCCAGCTAGCCAGCACAATCACTTCATTCGATATTAAGAAAGCCGAAACATACGAAATAAATTGTATGAACTGTAACAGACATCACGTCAGCCAAAGCGGGCGTCCCCTTCGAATCACAATCCAAGATCACAAATTGGCTGTAAAAAGAAATGATATATATTCTTTCATATCAATACATGTGGATAATTATGAACACCAATTTGATTGGGATTATGTCGAAATTTTAAATAGAGGAAACACAAAAAGTGCCAGAGAACTCCTAGAAGCCTGGTATTCAAGTGAATCGGCAATAAACAAACACATTACACTTTAGACCAAATTTACCAGCTAGCAAAAAATAAATCACACGACACGCAAGTTCAAATTCCAAGTCAATAAAAAATGATCACTACAGATGCAAATCGACTACCAGTCACGAAAATGGTTGCCAAGAAACACAATTCTATCATTTATGGAGAATTCAAATCAGTTCATTTTATGCTAAAACTTGCGCTGAAGATATTGTCCGGAAGGGTGATGAAAGCCTCGCAGTTAAATAAACCAGCTCAGAGAACACAACTAATTCCAGAAGAGGAATGGGCTAAAGAAATATATTCCTTTCCAGTTAGTGTCTCATTTATAGATAATATGAACTAATGCACAGATTTCACTGTGAAATAGTAATACCAAAATCGGAAATCAGCTGCCAAAGTGGCGAAGGATAAATCACACTCTTTTTATTTGTGTATGTGTAGGTTCAGCAGAAAACGTCTGATTGCAATTGCTTCAGTTAATCATATTAAATCCAGAGTCCTCTGCGTACTTAGTGTTTCGAAGGAATTAGAGGTGTCATCTAAATGCCTCAAATCCAAGAGTGTCTAGTCATTGTATTGCGTAAATATTTGCTTCCCTTTAGACGTAGATTTCTTGAAATATTCTCAAAAAACACGAATAGAAAACTTTCTTCCACTCCTTAAAATGTACTTGCTACCTCAAGAGCATGAAAACTAATGAACGAAGTTGGAGGTGACATCAGCAGAATACTTGTTTATTTTGGATTGATTTATTGATCGCTTGGCGCTTTGTAATCATCCAAGTTTGGCTTCAGGGAAACAACTTTTTCTCTCTAACCTTTGCTTTAAAATACTGTATATTCATTGAATAGGAAGCGAATGAAGAATTTCAGCATGCTATTTACATTATGGTGAGAACTAGTTGCTAGCCGAATTCGTAGACAGTAATTGACGTCAATGTTTATGTCCCCGATATTGGTCGTAAGAAGAATGAGGAGGTAGGCTTTGTGTAGGCGGATACAGTTAGCATATAGATGATCTGTTGCCTGGCCCTTGTCTTCTGTTGTTACAACATTAGCAATTTTGTTTATTATTACCACACAAAAACCTTGGCATTTAAAATACCCAAGCTTCTTAGTGATTCAACGTAATTCCAGAGGAAAAAGGTGAGAAGGAATATGAAAATCGCATGCGAAAATAAAATTAAGTGAATGTATCAAGAATTTCCCAAGAGAGAGAGAGAGAGCTGGTAGATAACGTAACATACGATGCACCCAAAAGCAAAAGGTGCCTGACTTCCTTTTAGTGTGTGGTTTTTTGGAAATCATGAGTCTAATGTACTCTTGAGACTTATAATGCTAATGATCAAAAGTTGACTCAGTGGTCACTCCATTTTTTGCAGGCTGCTCGAAATAATTTTTTATTTGAAAAATTACCTTTCAATTTCCCTAGGAAGTAGGTAGGTATCGTCAACATATCAAATAAACACATGGTATCGAAGATGTGGTCATTTTATTTACAGATAGAGAAATGATTAAATAATTAGTATAATTTTTCTAACAGGCGAACTTGCTACCGCTTCCTGAAATAGAAATGAGGCAGGTTGAACCCCTTTGCATAAAAGACATCCAGTTTCAGTTTAATGGCTAGCTTCGCCAACAAATTAATGGGTTCTCCTTTAGGACCTGTCCTGACCGATATTTTTATAGGTTATCTCGAAAAGACACAGTTAAGTTCTGCAATTAGCAAACGAATCTACTATCACAGGTACAGTAATCACAACTTGTTGTTTTTATTGGTACGAATCATGCATCATAATTATTTGGCAATTTCAACTAGATTCAACTTAACCGCAAATTACACACATCGTATTCGTGCGACAATGAGTTTATCCTAATATGAGATTAAAAAGTTTATCCATAGAAATAACACTTGTACTGGACAACATCTTCTCTACAATAGCTTCTATCCTGTCAACCATGAGCGTGGATTAATGGGAACACTATATTATTCAAGTAGCTACGTTCATCTGGCAAGTTAAAAAAATTAGGCTTCGTTGAAAATTGCCTTAGAGAGAACTGACATCACATTGGATTCATCCTGGAGACACCTGATGAAGGAATAGAAAAATGTCAGTTTAGACGTGATGTGCGTGGTTGTGTTTTGGTGGTTTTCACGAAGTTATTAATTAATTGAAAGAATAAGACGTTATTTGATGAATACAACAGTTGTATGCACACACATAGTTAGGGTGTCACGGTGATATTATATCGCCATAACCACTAAAGTGTGCTCAAGACATTATCCTATTCGTTATATTATATTATTATGTGCTGTGTAACGCCAACCTATCTAATTTGAAACTATACTCCATCAGTTTTCCCAAGTTTTACCTTCACATGTCTAGAGGAGTTATATAAACCTCGAAATATAAAAAGGGAAGATTCTAAATAAAACGACGAATTAAAATATTGAAAAGGAAATTCAAGGTTAGATAAATGGGTCCAACAAATTTCTTTTAAATAAATATGACGTGTTTACCAAATTATTTCCCGTCTGTGGAACAGTTTAAGTACTTTTGAGTTATCTCATCCATTTACTAATTGTGTAATACGAACTTCTCAATAGATTCTCTTTTTGTTCAATAATACTTTCAAGCCACACCATATTTTAGCTTGACCTTCATGCAGATGATATCTGATTAATCACAGGTTTGACCACGAGTTAACATCAGTTTAAGAACCTTTGGAAAACCTAAGAGTATTGGTAGCTGAATGGTCTGCAAGCTCCCCTTGTAACCGGAAGGTCAGGGGTTCGAATCCCAGTAGGTGCGTACCATTGAGGAGCCCCGCACTAGGACGAAACAACTGTCCAGGTTATTTAATGGTTCTCTAACTGATATCAAATCATGACCAAAGTTGTAACCAATCAAATCCCTGCAAACCAACATTTGACAGATATCAGATTATATGGAGGATTTCATCATGAGCTGACATCGGTTAAAGAACCACTGGAAAACCAGCTGGGAGTACTGGACAGCTGTTTCGTCCTAGTTTGAGACTCTTCATCAGTACTCACCCACCAGGGTTCGAACCCAGGATCTTCTGGTTACAAGGCTAGCTAGTTCGTAGACCATTCATCAGTCACTGGGACCCTATCCAATGGTCCTTGAATTCTAACTTTTGCCAATTCACGACATAGCGCAACCATTTCACAATGTCTTCTTCGACGAGTTACTGCCTCATCTTCAACCTGCTGTACCCTACTGGTCACGGCTTTTCACAGCAGGTTGAAGATCAGGCAGTAACTCGTCGAAGAAGACATTGCGAAATGGTTGCGCTATGTCGTGAATTGGCAAAAGTTAGAATTCAAGGACCATTGGATAGGGTCCCAGTGACTGATGAATGGTCTACGAACTAGCTAGCCTTGTAACCAGAAGATCCTGGGTTCGAACCCTGGTGGGTGAGTACTGATGAAGAGTCTCAAACTAGGACGAAACAGCTGTCCAGTACTCCCAGCTGGTTTTCCAGTGGTTCTTTAACCGATGTCAGCTCATGATGAAATCCTCCATGCAATCAAACAAAAAATCCCTACAAAACCAATACTTGAAGATACCAGATTACACTATGTAAGCGTCATTAATTGGTGGCGAGAAACACCGTTTTTACAACATAGTTTTCATTTCCCTTTGTTGTTTTTTCCATATGCATTTCACAGATTCTTCACCCAACGACGTAAGTTAAAAAATATACGTATTCATTTCATGTAAGAAGGATCAATAAATATGTAATACCATTTTGAATCTAGCCTTATTTTATCTGTAAGATGATTAAATCAGTCAGCTTACTCTTTTCACTCTTCATCTTCACAATTTATAGTTTATCATCTCTGGTTTGTAAGTTAACGATGTACGCATTTGTTTACGATTCAAAAAAAACAGCTTCATTATTACTATGGTGATTAGCATGCCAGTCTTTTTTTCCCTTTACCTGTCACACTATGATTTCATCAATTCATATTAATGGGTGTTTTATGTATAATTCATTGACAGAGGAGTATTCACTTGATGAATACTTTCATATCTCAATTAATGTTATTGAAAATCAAAAGGCAGCAATTAATTTGATTCCCTCTACAATAATTTTACCCAAAGCTGAATATGATTCTTCTGCATAATTCTGAAGAATCTTCAGAGGGATTTCTTTAGTATAACATTGAATATGGGACAAGAAAAACTAGAAATATTATGATTATTGTTATTTATCAGAGTTTCAATTTATTATAATTGTTTCCTTTAATTCCTAGAGGAACATAGGACTTCAGCCGTGCGTCTCCATTGTGTTCGGTTGTCTTCTAGAGTCTTCACCTGGCTCCAAGTCTGCCCACACGTTTTCATCTCCCATTCACATGGCCTCCTCCAAGTCACCCTTGAACGAACAACTCGCCGCTTCCCTTTCGGGTTCCACTCAGGCAATGGTTTGTCTAGTGATGTCACTTGATGGTTTCCTCAGAGTATAACCAGCCAATCCGTCTCCATTTCCTCCTGCCTATTTGTTTCACAATCGGATCCTGGTTGGTTCGCTCATTGCCAGAGATCTCTGTTGCTGATCTTTTCTGGCTGACCATCTGATCTTGAGTAGTATTGAGCGAAGACAACTGTTAATGAAGGTCTGTAGTTTGTTTGAGGTGCTCATTATGACGCACTGGGCAAGTCTCTGATCCGTATAGTAGCACTGAATTTACATTGGAGTTGAAAATCCGGATCTTATTTTTGATGCTGGTTAGTGCTGTTGACATCCACACAGACTTGAGAGTAGTGAAAGCTTGTCCTGCTTTCCCGATCCTCGCTGCTTTGATATCCTCGTCAGTTCCGTCCGCCTGTAGTTGAAACGATGCTTCCCACGTAGGGTAGGCAAAGGAGGTTGTTTCTTTCAGGTTCCTTCCATTTATGCTGATTTTTGTCTGTTGTTGTTGTTGCTGTTGGTGGTGTTGCCCAGGAATCTTCATCACCTACCTCTGTTTTCTCAATGTTCACCAGAAATCCTGCCTTCTCTGGATGCTTCTTCTGCCAACTTGTTTCTTTTCGCTTGCATATCTTCCAGTTTTTTGGAAATCAGACATATATCATCACCGGCGAAGTCCAGATCCTCCAAGTGTTTTGTGTGATTCCATTTTATGCCTGTTTCCTCATTGCCCGCTGTTTTTTGTCACATTATCCAGTCTACTGCAATCAGGAAAATCATTGGCGATAGTAGGCCGCCAGCTTGTCTTACTCCTGTCCTCACTTCGAAGGGTTCCGTGAGTTTCCCGTTGTGGATTACTTGGCATGCAGCATTGTCGTACAGCTGTTGGATGAGATCTATAATTGTCGGTGGCACCCCTTGGTAGTAGCGAAGTAGTTGCCAAATTACCTCTCTATCGACGTGTTTCAGTGGCGACAGTTATTTCAGGTGCATAATTTTATTCACAGAAGGGCTTCTTCCTGGCTATCTGGTAAGGATGCTGCTTATCTGATCACTTGTTCCCTCTTGAGTTACTTCTCTTTCTTATTACTGCGAAATTTACATGACAGAACTTTTTAAATTTAGGCATTGAACCAATCAAAGAAATTGGAATGCTCTGATTTTGAAACGAATTAACTCCCAATTGGTCATTTACCGTTTTAACCAACTATGTACACACCACCAGATGGTTATTCAACAATCGCATGCAAGAAATGAGTTTCGTTGCAGGTCTGAAATTTTGATTACTAACGGATTAATTAATGTGTGTTTCGAATGTTTGAATCAGCCAGCATCCTTCAACATCCACTAGTCTAGTGTCTTCATGCATTTATTCACCTTTATGAATTTGAATAGAGCAAGAACAACAGTGGTTTGTGCAGAATAATATGGTACCGTCATTGTTTATTTCGTTGACTTCTCATCAGCTGCTGCTTACAGCATTAATAAATTATTATTAAGTTTATATACAGAAACGCTTTAGCAAACTTGCAGATCTTACTTGATGTCAGTTGACAGGAGGTTGGTTCTCGTCTATCGGACAACATGCTCTTTAGTGCAGTCAAAAGACAACAGATACTCTTCTCATGTCAACTCCAGATTTGTATACAAATTTACATATATCTGCGGGAGAATTTACATTGGGAGAACAGAAAGAAGGGCACTTCTCCGTTTTTCTAAACAGTCGGTGAAAAGCTTACGCATCAAGGGAACGAATGCAAGTGACTGTCATGACCTAGTGCATAATACTTTGTTGTCTGAAACGATGGATGCTGGGTGGTAAATCTTGTGCAGGATCTGTACAGTTGACTCCCTAGAAAATGAATTAGGATCCATCATAAATACGCTGGTCCATATGGGTTATCTTAGTAGATTTGTAAGGAGACAAATGAACACCAGGTGTAATAAAGAGAAACTGACAACTGTTAAAAAGAAACAACTGTTCATGAAATTGTAATTTAATGGGGACGTGGCTAGTAAAGTGTTACATCTAAGATTATCGAGAGCAATAAAATTGACTCATACTGCCGCCACCCTTTGTTTGGCGTTTTCCAGCCGACCAATTATGATTACTCAACCGGAGGACAAGCTGCCCAACTGCCACTTCTGTGTATATCTACAAATTTAGCTGCTTTTGCGGAGAAAGCTATACAGAGCGAATAACTAGACAGTTCAACAAACGCATTAATGAGCATCTCCTTTCATGGTTCGGAAAAAGCGAAATAAAATCTATTTTGACTCATTTGATTGATAGCGGTCATCAAGTGGAGAGAAGTAGTGCCTTCAAAGTTATCTATCGCATTCCATCTAGCCTTTCGAACAGAATTCGAACCTGCCTTTTACACATAACCGAAGCTATGGGAATTCGAGAGAGCATTTCTAGTTTTTACATAGAAAAGAAGTTTCTCCTATCTTTGTCCCTCCCTTAGCCTTGGTAACGTTTACTTAAAATCCGATCACCCTTTCCTATTTTCTATTTTCTTCGTGTTTTAATGATATTTATTTAAACTCTGATTACTTGTCCACTTCACCTTTAGTATTACGTAACTTTCAAGATTTGAACTAATTAATTTATTGAATTATCTACATATACACATATTACTACCTTCGTTATTCTTATCGCCCCCTGCATAAGCCTTATTATCATTATTTTGTTATTGTTATAATCATCGTTATTGCTGACGTTCAAAACATTAACCACATTACTATTATTATTATTTGATCCACAAAATCACCGTCATTGGTTAAAATTGTTATATATAAATCTATGTAAATCAGAGTGTAGCCTGAAGAAGATCTAATTGAAAATAATGTTATTCACTCATATGTCTTGTTCTAATATTAATAATGGGAATGTATTTAAAGATTTATGATTTGAGTTGAACTCAGTACATTGTTACGTAATTTATTAGTCACTCATCTTATGCACCTCCCGTCTTTATTAGGTAACTCCTTTACCATTGTACGCATACATTTACTTTGTCTAAACTTGAACTCCCAGTGTAAAAACTATGTGCACGTAATTTTCTGAGCACTGTTCACTAAGTTCGGAATCTCCTGTCAATGTGACATCAAATAAAATTTGCAAATATGTTAAAACTTTTATCTATATAAACTTAATAATTTATCAAGTCTGTAAGCAGCAGCTGATGAGAAGCCAACGAAATAAATATTGGTGGTACCATATAATTCTGTAAAAAACTGTTGTTCTTGCTTTATTCAAGGTCTAGTATCCCCTGCCATAGGTTTGTTGTGTGTTTTGTGAGTTTCTCATTTTGAATATTAGTTTAGTCATTATCATGACCTTGCTCTTCTAAATCTATAAGATTAATTATTACATGCTTCTAGTATCAAGGAATCTGACAGCCAGTACTGATAAGTTTCAGATATACAGCCAGATGGTTAAATAAGTATCACTTGTTCGTTTAAAGCAAAATCTAGATTATTGATATGAGAATAAAACTTGTGCACTGTGGTAGAGTGTAATTCCATTGTGGGTAAATTTTGTTTTGATAAAGTTTCACAGTTTTATACAGTAATGTTTACTGATGACGTTTCAAACACAATTTATTGCTCATAATCATATCAAGGAAAATCTAGATTACTTGAGGTGATTAGGAAATGTATCACGCATATTTATGCCCTATCTGTCTAATTTCGTTATGAAGTACTTTATAGGAAGGTAAAGAGTGGCTAGACTGATCGATAAAGTCATCGACTCGTAGTCCAAATCTTGTGTAGAGATGTAGAATGATTGATTAAGCTCCACGTAATTCCGGGAAATATTTGCTTCATGACTAAAGGTTATATGGCTCCAAAATCAATCTCAGTAGCTCAGATCTACTCATAGTTCATTTTTATCTTAATGTTATGATCATTTTTTTCCTCTCTGTTTAACCTTGCTTTTTTCTGTGTCTTTTATGAATGTTGATGTCTCAATTTCCACACTTTGGTCTTTTTTATGTTATCTCCTGCATTGTGCGAAAGGTTCCAAGTGCTGTCTTACACTGCTAATAGTTGTCTGTGTGTGTGGGGGGGGGGTGGTGGTCTGTATTTTCTTGTCAGACTAAAATGAAATTCATGTAATTTTCCAAGTTCAAAATGGGAATTTTCTTAATCGATATTATTCAGACAACTACAGAGAATTAATTAGAAACTTTAAAACTTCTAATGTTCATCGTTGATGAAGCTTTTTCCAGATGTATTTTTAGATTGAGATTCTAATTATTGTTATATAATCAAATTGGATTTTTATATGTCGCATGCTGCTAAATTGATTTTCTGTGCTAAATTTCATATTTTATTATTGTTAGTGTTATTACACTAGATTTTATTTATTTACATTTGGTAACTATTCCATGTGACTAGTTGACTAGATTGTATTATTTAGTCATTACTCCAGAGAGATAAGTATGAATTGAAATTGACAGGCTATAAATATTAAAAGTATATTTCATATTTCTGTAAGTATTAATTTGACAAGGATCCATTGTTTATATAACTGTTTAGTTACCATTTGATTTTCAAGCGGCTACAACACTTGGTTATTTCAAGTTCACATCTAAAATGATTGTTGCCAACATATACTTTAACAGAGGTTTATGATCAAATAAAGGCGTCTATTGTGATAGTACTTGTTCAACATACCCGATTTCATCGGTTACATGATTTCAT